AATTAACAAATATGAACTGAATGCATAACATTTTCCAAAATGCAAGTTAAAAATAGGAGATGAAATATTTTTTCATCACAGGATTTCTTTATTTTTGTTATAAAGCTACTGCTATATGCTACAAACCAGTTCGAATCTGTTTTAACAAGTGTTACTGTGTAATTGATAATTGATGATCATACATAAAAGTCATTAGTCTGATACTTAAGTCAATGGCTAGTCATGGATAAAACTATGGCTTCCGTGGCCGAGTCTGAATAAATTCGTGGCAGTTGGCCATATTGATTTGGCCAAGATCTTACCATGAGTCCATGATGCACCCACTTCTCTTGTTATTTTTCTGTAGCTGTTTCCGCGGCTATCTTGTTATTTTTCTTTGTATTGATAAATTAATAATATGTAACACTTAAATCTCCAAATTTTTATATTTCTTTTGAAATTGTGTATACATTACAAATATACAAAAAAAAAAATAATATAAAGTGACAAGATGGTAGGAAAATATGAAATTAGATACGATCATATGATATGTGTTGTTGTACTTAAGGCACGTACGGTAGGTATGGGCACGGAGCTTTGGGATATCCATTACTCGACTCTTACGGGTAATGGATTTTTTATACCCATATCCAACTAAGAAAAAATTGGGTATTCACACAAACAAATATCTCTAAAAGAAATGAATTCGCGCGGGTTACTTGACCTAACTTTTTACCTGAATTTAAATTTAAATAATTACACTTATTCAAACATTTAAATAGTTATGTTATCATATTATATAAGATTAAATAACATATTATAAGTTAATATCAAACTTCAACCAATAATAAGGTCATATTTTATATAAGATTATACTTAGTTAGTTATGTAAAGAGAAATATCCTAAATTTTGGTATTTTAAATTTTTTCTTCCAAAAATAACACCATTAATTCAAATTTTCAATAGGTAAAATACATTTTAATCCTAGCTAGATAAATTACAAACAAAATTAAGACATTACATGTTGGTTCATTTTTTTCTATGTAGGGTTTAAGTTTCTCCAAGTCGGTAGGAGGTTTGAGTTATCTTGATATTGCATTTGTGCTATTATTAGAAATCTAAAACTAGCGGTGATATTTTTGGAACAAAAAGTTAAAAGACGTATTTTGAGAATCGCCCATAATAATAGAGAAATATTGTAATAATA